ATACCTGAGGTATGTGTTTCTTTCACTGCATGCGGTTCCCTTTAATGTTGAAGACACGATAATCAATCAGTGCTATATTTTTGTTGTCTCTCTTTATTTGGAAAATCCATGCGATGACAGAGACTATCCTCAATACATTCTCAAAGTCCTCTATATTCTTTCCCCCCCAAACATTCATCCCCACCACCACCATTTGTACTAGTGATGCTGAGGCCTCACTCCATCTCTTGGTTACTTACGACAAATGGTCCTCAGAGACACCACATTCTCTGCCTCTACTGCACTCCCACAAACAGAGTGCCACACAGGAATCCAGAGTAGAAAAAAATTATAACCAGAACTAAAGCTTGCAGCATGGAACAAAGATGTCTGAGAGCAGTAGAGAATCTTGTAAAACATATGGTGATTGGGGAGGTTCCAGACGATCGAAAAAAGCAAAATGCAGCACCCATCTTTAAAAAAAGAGGAGGGGAATCCAGGGAACTACAGATAGGTCAGCTTTACCTCAGTCCCTGGAAAAATATGGAACAGATCTTTAAGGAATCCATTTTGAAACACTTGGAGAAGAGGAAGGTAATAAAAAACAATCAACATGGATTCACCCAGGGCAAGTCATGCTTGGCCAACCTAATGATGCCTTTTATGATGAGATAACTGGCTCTGTGGATATGGGGAAAGAGAGGGACATGATATACCTGGACTTTAGCAAAGATTTAGACCTAGTCTTCCATAGTATTCTCGCCATCAAGTTAAAGTATTGCTTAGATGAATGGACTATAAACTGGCTAGAAAGCTGACTAGATAGTTGGGCTCAACCGGTAGTGATTAATGGCTCGATGTCTAGTTTGCAGCTGGTATCAAGTGGTGTGCCCCAGGAGTCAGTCCTAGGGCCAGTTTTATTCAACATCTTTTATTAATGACCTGGATGAGGGGATGGATTGCACCCTCAGCAAGTTTGCAGTTGACACTAAGATGAGGGGAGAGGTAGATACACTGGAGGGCATGGATAGGGTACAGAGCAGAGTTTCCTCTACACTGTGTGGCAGTACAGCTTCACAGGTGATTAATTAGACTTGCCCCCTGCACCAAGACCTGAGCCTATGACTGGGAGGGGCTGATTAATCACCTGTGAAGCTGTGCTGCCACACAATATAGAGGGAACATTGGTCCGGAGTGATTCAGACAAATTGGAGGACTAGGCCAAAACAAATCATGAGGTACCACAAGGACAAGTAAAGAGTCCCACATTAAGGACAGAAGAATCCCAAGCACTGTTACAGGGTGGGGACTGACTGGTTAAGCATCAGTTCTACAAAAAAGGACCTGGGAATTACAGTGGACAAGATGCTGTATATGAGTCAACAATATGCCCTTGTAGCCAAGAAGGCTAACAGTACACATTGGGCTGCTTCAGTAAGAGCATTGCCAGCAGATGAAAGGAAGTGATTATTCCCCTTTATTCGCAAATGGGGAGGCCATGGGTGGGGACTGACTGGTTAAGCATCAGTTCTACAAAAAAGGACCTGGGAATTACAGTGGACAAGATGCTGTATATGAGTCAACAATATGCCCTTGTAGCCAAGAAGGCTAACAGTACACATTGGGCTGCTTCAGTAAGAGCATTGCCAGCAGATGAAAGGAAGTGATTATTCCCCTTTATTCGCAAATGGGGAGGCCATATTTGCGCCCCCCCCCCCCCCCCCACTACAGAAAGGAAGTGGAGAAATTGGACAGAATCCAGTAAAGGGCCACAAAAATGATTAGAGGTTGGGCACATAATTTACGAGAAGAGCCTGTGGGAATTGGGCTTATTTACTGTGCAGAAAAGAAGGGGGCGAGGGGGAGAGATTTGATAAGAGTCTTCAAATACCTGAAGAGGGATTCCATAGAGGATGATGTCAGTGGTGACATATGATAGAACTAGAAGCAATGGTCTGAAGTTGCAATGTGGTAGGTCTAGGTTGGATTTTAGGAAAAACTACTTCACTAAGAGGGTGGTGAAGCACTGGAATGGGTTTCAAAGTGAAGTGGTGGAATCTCCATCCTTAGAGATTAAGGCCAGGCTTGACAAAGCCCTGGCTTGAATGATTTAGTTGAGGTAAATCCTGCTTTGAGCAAGGGATTGGAGTAGATGACCACATGAGGTCTCTCCCAACCCTAATCTTTTATTATTCTATGTCAGGAAGATAGCTTTTGTGATTCATTACATCAACGTGGAAAAGCAAACAAGGTTGGAGAAAAAAATCAAGAGCCAGTGAAAAACTGTGACATACAGAAACACAGAACCTAAGTCAAAAGATAGTGGAGGAACTAGAAGTAGATCAAATCAAGTTAACAAAAGAAATTGCAGAAGTAGAACCATACTAGTTAAAATTGGCCTGCAAATGGCAACTACCCCAGGCTCTAGAGAAGGGCCAGGAAAAAGACCCAAGAGACAGGTAGCTAGAATCTCTCTTGGGCTGGGAGTCGCCTGACTGGAGATGGAGGGCAATCAAGGACTACAACCTGCCTAAAATTGTAGCTAGAAAGAGAGCACAACAGCATCAAGCAGTGGAAGCAAACTGCAGGAACTTAGGCCAGCTAGCCTGTAAAGAAGGCAGCTACAAGCTGAGCCAAGGCGTGCTGAATATTTAGTTGTTTCTGATGTGGAGAAGAAAAGGAGTGGCTCAGGAAGGCAGCCCCAAAGTACTCCAGGGTGTTTGGCCTCTCATAGGGCCTCAGTTATGGGTTGGTAGAAATGGAGGTTCAGGCCACCCTAACAATTACCCTTTTTGGAGAGGGGGCATAAACTTGCTTCTTCTACATCTTAGAAGAAAGGAGAAGGTAGAGACACTGTCTCAAGTCAAGGGTATACCCAATCATAGAGTTCTGGAGGCAGACTGAAAGTCCTTAATCTTGAGGGGTTGTTGGACTCTATGGCTATGTCTACACTCGCATCTTCTTGCGCGAGTAATATGCAAATGAGGCTAAGCATTGAATATCATAGAATCATAGAATCATAGGACTGGAAGGGACCTCGAGAGGGCATCGAGTCCAGCCCCCTGCCCTCAAGGCAGGATCAAGCTCCGTCTACACCATCCCTGACAGATGTCTATCTAACCTGTTCTTAAATATCTCCAGAGAGGGAGATTCCACCACCTCCCTTGGCAATTTATTCCAATATTTGACCACCCTGACAGTTAGGAATTTTTTCCTAATGTCCAATCTAACCCTCCCCTGCTGCACTTTAAGCCCATTACTCCTTGTCCTGTCCTCAGAAACCAAGAGGAACAAATTTTCTCCTTCCTCCTTGTGACATCCTTTTAGATATTTGAAAGCCGCTATCATGTCCCCCCTTAATCTTCTTTTTTCCAAACTAAACAAGCCCAGTTCATGAAGCCTGGCTTCGTAGGTCATGTCCTCTAAACCTTTAATCATTCTTGTCGCTCTTCTCTGTACCCTTTCCAATTTCTCCACATCTTTCTTGAAATGTGGCGCCCAGAACTGGACACAGTACTCCAGCTGAGGCCTAACTAGTGCAGAGTAGAGCGGCAGAATGACTTCACGAGTTTTGCTTACAACACACCTGTTAATACAACCTAGAATCATATTTGCTTTTTTTGCAACAGCATCACACTGTTGACTCATATTCAACTTGTGGTCCACTATGACCCCTAGATCCCTTTCTGCCATGCTCCTTCCTAGACAGTCGCTTCCCATCTTGTATGTATGGAACTGATTGTTCCTTCCTAAGTGGAGCACTTTGCATTTCTCTCTATTAAACCTCATCCTGTTTACCTCTGACCATTTCTCTAACTTGCTAAGGTCATTCTGAATTATGTCCCTATCCTCCAAAGAAGTCGCAACCCCACCCAGTTTGGTATCATCTGCAAACTTAATAAGCGTACTCTCTATCCCAATATCTACATCATTGATGAAGATATTGAACAGTATGGGTCCCAAAACAGACCCTTGAGGAACTCCACTTGTTATCCCTTTCCAGCAGGATTTAGAACCGTTAACAACCACTCTCTGACTACGGTTATCCAGCCAATTATGCACCCACCTTATCGTGGCCCTATCTAAGTTATATTTGCCTAGTTTATCAATAAGAATATCATGCGAGACCGTATCAAATGCCTTACTAAAGTCTAGGTATATGACATCCACCGCTTCTCCCTTATCCACAAGGCTCGTTATCTTATCAAAGAAAGCTATCAGATTAGTTTGGCATGACTTGTTCTTCACAAACCCATGCTGGCTATTCCCTATCACTTTAGACATCACCGAGCCTCTTTTACATAACTAATGAGCCGCCATTTTTTTCAGAAGAGGCTCTTGCGCAAGAAGGAGCATCTACACTGCCCTTTCTTGCGCAAGAAAAACCTTCTTGCACAATGCCGTTCTTCCTCTCAAGTAATAGGTGTAACAGCATTGCGCAAGAGGGTTTTTCTTGCGCAAGAAGGGGCCATGTAGACAGCTCCGTCTTGCGCAAGAACCTCTTCCGCAAAAATGGCGGCTCATTAGTTATGCAAATGAGGCTCTGCGATATTCAACACTTAGCCTCATTTGCATATTACGCGAGTGTAGACATAGCCTATATGTTCTGTTGGACTTTGTAGTCTGAAAAGGGAAGATAGTGATGTGGTCAGAAGGCCAAGCTGCTACCTAACAGAAGATGAACCACTGCAGCTTTGGTGTGATGGCTGGTAAGGGATGCCAACAACTGAGACCCAATGATCTAACCACTAGGTAGCATCATCAGTAAAGACCAGCCTTCAGCACAGGCACCTGTTGTCAGGCAGCAAGACTTTCTGTATAAACAGTGCGCCTTTATACCTATCAAAGCCAGATCTGCACACCTATGTGCTTTCCAATTTTAGTTAAAAGAACCAGAAACATGTTTTTTTTTCCCCCCTTCACTTCATTCTTTTATTACCTATTTGAAAAAAAATCTTTTGCAACATTGCACACTGTCAAAATGTTTCTTCTCCAATCTCCCTCTTGCCAAAACATATTACCTGATAAATCCTGGGATTTTCCAGATACTCTAGCACGTTTAGCTCGATGACCAAAGTTCTCAGTAGCTGAAGTGGAGGCACCCTTTAATCATATAAATAAAAATTAGTTAAGACATTATGGAACTTGTAAAAGTGTTAAGAGTTAGCCATCTATTCCTGAAAACAAAATATATTTTATAAAAAAAAAATTACCTCCATACTGCTCTTTGTAGGGCAAGCTGTTCTTTTAGGAAGAAGAGTTTTTCTGCGAAGTTGGTATGGACTATTTTGTGCACCAGGACCTGATTCTTCTGCAACCATGTCTGCAGGTACATCATCATCTATCAAAAGGTCAAAAGGAAATTCAGTAATTTGAATTATACAGCTTCCAAAAACTCACAGAAAAAGCGTACAGGAAACTTTAATTAGTATTTTTCTGGTAAAAAAGAAACATCTGCTAGCATCAACTATTCATTTTCCTAAGCACATGCAACCAGAAAGATGCCACAATAATCCACTCGCTAGAAGTGCATGCACAACTTCATTTTCATGTATGACCTGTATATTTTTATTTTCAATTATTTTCTACATATTAACCCATTTTTTCATTGTAATTATACAACATTTATGCTACAAATTCTATGATGTGTCCTTTATTTTAGGGCTTACTTTATTTATTTTATCAATAAATTATTCACTATGCTAATGGAGAGTCAACTTTTCTGATTCAGTGCTTTTTACTTCTGTTTACCACTACCTTTCAGCTGAAAGATACCCAAGTTTTCAATTAATCATAAGCGACCAAGAAGGCATCTACTCTGTCGTCATATCTACCACAAAATTTAAAGCCGGGTTTCCTATGCAGTTCAGTGATAATGCATTTCAATGTGCTAGCTCTTTCTTACAGAAGGGGGAAACTAGCATAGCATTATCTAAAGAAGAAAAAAGTTGCTTTGGTTTTTGTTTATTTGGCTAAAGACAAAAGATGATAATATTAAGTGTGCTCCCTCCAAACGTTCAATAAAATGAAGAATAATGGTATGATAAGATTTCATTTGTAGGGCTTTTGTTTTATTACTGTTTTATTCTCTGCTAGTAGTACCTCATGAAAATGCTCTGACAGGAATACACTTAATGCAGTGAAAAAGGAATAATCTGTTGTTTTAATACTTTAGTAATTAAACCATTAATTCACCATGTTGTACCACAAACACTAAACAAAACTACAAAAACAAATACATGTGGAAGTCAAACTTGAGGCTTCTTTATTAATAAAGAAACATATAGTTCTTACACAGAAATCCTCAGAAAACTTTTTTTCCTTAACTGCACTCAGCATACCTGGTGTCTCATTCTAAACCATGTTCAACTTGAAATACAGAGTAAAAGAGAGAGATGGAGGCTGTGCAGAGAAATCTAAGGAGTAAATCCCCTTTTTTCAAAATATGCTAATTAGTCTGTGGTCAATGTACTTAATCTAAGAATGAAAAATACAAAAACAAAACAAAACAAAAGACATGCTTCACAGTTCGTAAGAACATAGAGCAGCCATACTGGATCAGACCAAAGATCCATCCAGCCCAGTATCCTGTCTGCCGACCGTGACCAATACCAGATGCCCCAGGAGTAAAGACAACAGGCAATCATCACATGATTCCTCCCGTCATCCACTTCCAGAAAAACAGAGGCTAGAGCAGTGGTCTCCAACCTTTTTACACCCAAGATCAATGACAGAACAAGCCAAGATCCACCGCCCCGCTCCTTCCTTGAAGCCCTGCCCTCTCTATTCTCCTCCTCTCCATCACTTACTATCCCCAACCCTTATACTGCTGCTTTTTATTTATTTTTAATTCTTCTGTAGGAAAAGGTTTTTCCAACATTTGGCCTGTCTAGACTGGACCAAATGTCAGAAAAACCCCTTCTTTTGGAAGCCCCCTTATTCCTCGTGGAAAGAGGAATATAGGGGTGACCGAAAGAGCATGTTTGCTCTTGCACTAAAAAAAGCAGAAGAACAAACACATCCCTGTATGCAGAAGAGTTTTTCTGGGATATCTCCGGAATCCTAAAAAACCCCTGCAGTCTAGTCATACCCTCACTGGGTTGAGACAGGATGGCTACGTCTACATTGGCATCCCTTTCCGGAAAAGAGATGCTAATGAGACGAGTCGGAATTGCATATCCGCGGGAAAGTAGGAATAAGAAATCCTCCGGAAAAGGGCTTATTTTCCGGAGAATCGCGTTTAGACTGGTGCTTTTCTCCAGCTTATCCCCAAGCCGGAAAAAAGCAGCAGCCATGTAAATGCAAATGCCGCGGGGGATATTTAAATCCCCCGCGGATTTGCAATTCCGAAGTGTCTAATCTGCATCCCTTTTCCGGAAAAGGGGTGCAGTGTAGACACAGTCAATGTGTAGGCTCTGGGGGGGGGTGCAATAAGGGATTTGGGGGTGGGAAGGGGTAAGAGGTGCAAGCTCTGGGAGGAAATCTGGATGCAGGAGGAGATGGAGAAGGGGGCGCTGGCTCGGTGAGGGGGCTCCAGGCCGGGCAGTGTTGGGGTCAGATGTAGGGTTGGGGTACTAAGCAAGCCACAGGCTTGTGGATGTGAGGGTTCAGGAATTTGGGTTGAGGTATGTCAGGGGCTCAGGGCAGGGGGTTCCAGTGTAAGATAGGCTCAGATCTAGGGTCTGGGGGGGGGGGGGTGCAGGAGTGTTATGATGCTGCAGCCAGATGGGGGCTTGGCCCCAATTGGGGGTTTGTTGGCCAGGCTTCATTTTTAAATAAAATACTATGTCAAACAAAAAAAGTTTCTGTATTGTCTTTATTTATGAGAAGGGCAGGGAACCTTTTTTGAATCAGGGTCACTGACCCACAGAAAAGTCAGTTGGTGCCACACAAGTGAGATGCAATAACTCCTCCAAAAACACCCCAAGCCTCACTAATGTGGCCCCAACTGTGCTGGTGGGAGCAGG